TCAAGGAGTCAACAGAAGTGAGGACAGGAGAAGGAAGAATCTCCCCACAAAGTCTCTAGAGAAAGGACAGCTTCTGCAGAAACCTTGACTGAAAACCTTGATAAATCCTCCAAAACTGTAAAACTAGAATTTTTTTTACCCAGAACTTAGATAAGATAGTCCTAAAAAATTAATACACTATCTAAAAGGGCATATATTTTCAAGTTAATAAAAAAAATACTACTTTCATAGGGGAAATGGAGTCTACTTTATATATATATATATCTTGCTTGCAGAAAATGATGAAGATAATAGATTAAAAAAGATCAAAGCAAAAAAGATCATCTTCAATATAGTTTACAGCTCAATATAAAGGAAAAAAAAATCTTCACAATCAAAACATCATGCTAAATGGAGAAAAGACTGGAGCTGTTAACCATTTCATTTTATTTGTATCCACAAACACAAAGGTAGCAGCAGTCACAAAAATCAAAAGACATGTTGCATTGGAAAATCTGCTGTCAAAGACGCCTCTAAAAATGCTAAAGAGAAAGGATATTAAAGATTAAAGTGGGTCTGATGCAAATCACAGTATTTTAAACTGATTTATAAAGATGTGAAAGATGGATCATGAATAAAGAAAATCTACGAACTGATACATTTGATTTGCAGTGTTGTGAAGAGCACTAAATATATCACGGGAAGTAATTCATTTATGAAGCTAAACAGGAAACAAATGAAATAATTATCATCTTTATAACTACTGGTGATTTTAATTCTGTCCTAGAGTTTAAAAATTCTCTAAGAATTGGAATTTTTATTATTGAGAAAAGAAACTATTCCAATTAAGATTAACAGTTACCTTAATAGTTCCAAGATCCATTGGATTTTTGATGATATCATAGTAGTTATGGAGTCCCAATGCACTAATATCCACAGGATTATAAAAGGGCCATGCGTAAGCTAAGTGCTTCTTTGCAAGCATTTCGTTAAGAATCTCATTACAGTACTTTAATCCTTGAGTTGTTTTAGTACTCTTTACTGCATTGCACTGTTGCTGAGAAACCGGCAAAATATCTTTCAATATCTGTTCTTTTACAGGCGGCCTTTTCACTGATTTTTTTTGGGTAAACGATGGGGAAGATTTACTGTTTGCTTTAACTACTGGAGGTGTAGGAGTTGTTGTATCTGCTTTCCTCTTCACGCCCGTGGCTGCCTAAAAGAAAACAATTTAAAAACAACAATCATAAGTAAAGTACCTTGAGAGCAACGATCATCACCTTATCAGAAAAAAAATTAAAAGAGGAAACGATTACTTATATATGATTTACACTACTATTTTATTTTTTTACAATACTATTTTCAATCTTTGTATTAAATATTCACAAAATAGAAGAACTAATTGTCAGTAACCTTTCCAATACCAGTGGAAAACTTAACCACCACCCCACCAGGGTTAATTTCTCCTTCATAGGTACAACAAACAGTTCTAACATTTTCTTTCCATATTCCAAAGAACTGTCTCATATAAACCCATGAAACCAATAAAATAT